AAATTAGTATGTTGCATATTTTATCTTTACTAACTGTGCTAGATTTTATGCATAATATTTCTTTTTCTTCAATTTATAATGAATAGCTATAATTTAACTTCAGGACCATGAACGTGCTTATTTTGATTCTGCTGATTGGGCTCTTGGAAAGGTAGTTTTGTCTACGCTTCTCATTTAGCTGTTGTTATCTGAAACTAAAGCACTTCACAATTCAGTAGCTAACGTATAAATATGATCATAGCAAGGTGCAGCGAAGCCTAAGGGTCCATTGGAAGCACTTCGACCAAAGTTGCAGGTAACATACTATGCTATTACATCTTTGCTTATTAATTTCAATGTTAGTAGTACAGTGCCTTTTAATTAATAATGATTACTATTTGTAGAAAAAACATTTACCATTTTCAAATATGTCTCTGTCTGCATACGATGGAGCTATGGAGATAGTTGTGTTTGAGCTGTATGTACGATGAGTGTTCCAGTGTTAGATTTTTTTTAGTACAAACTTTCCAGAATAAGATGAATATGAAAGGATTGAAAGCTGCTCGTTTGGCTGGTATTAATGAAGTTGCTGAAACTGCTGATTTATTTAAACAAAATAATTATATATACTTCTGTGACAAAGTAACAAAAAAAATATGTGAAAGAAGGATAAAATGGTCATTATCAACTTCAGCTAAAAAGTACATGCAGCCCTACATTTTCCAATATTAACCAATTCAAGGTGTTATAGTCTTATATCAATTTTTTTGGTGAACTAAACACAAACTTGCTCCTTCCGTCCCATTGGACAGAAGTTTTTTGGTAAAATAAACAAAAACATACTCCTTCTGTCCCATTGGACTTTGCTGAATTTCCATTTTTGTTTGTCCCAAAAACTTTGCCATTTATGACTTATCCTTTAAAGTAATTATTTTGTGGTTAAACCTCAACCACACAATATTTACTTTTTTTATTCACACCCAAACTTGATTGGACGAAGGTAGTATTTATTCGGTTGGACTCTTGGTTGAAATCTCACTTTTTATTCGGTTGATCAAGTTTGTTTTTGCTTGATAGAATTGGTATGATATAGAGCCAGCAAGTAAATTTTTATGACATGTTGCATATAGCAATTTCTATTTAGGCATTTCATCTATCCTACCTCTGCATACTTGCCCAGCCCCCAATCTCTAGCTCCATTGTCTTCATTATTGTATTTCAGTTCTGCCATCTCAGTTATCTTATGCTCTTTTTTTAAATATTTCTGATATAGCCAACACAACAGCAAACACGATATCGCAAATCGCCTTGTGCCCCGACAGAAGGTGAAGGTACATAGGAATCATTGGCTTTTGTGATGCAAGAAGTGCATATATTCTTCCCTATTAGAAGTGTTGGTGGCAGAAGGGGGAAAATGTCAGGGGGCAATCCTCACATAACAAGACTTCTTTGCCATTGTCACTCCTAAAACTGTCAACTGTCTAGTTGTTGCAGTTTCATTTCTGCCCTCTTTATTGAAATTTTGCTGCCTCACCTCTCATTATTGTTTATTATGCGTAGATGGAAGCAATGTGCCATCATCAGAAGATGCAACTCCAAACGAAGGTGAAGGTACATAGGAATGATTGGTCTTTGTGGTGCAAGAACTACACATATTCTTTCCCATTAGAAGTGGCAGTGGCAGAAGGGGGATAAGGCCATGACGGGGCAATTCTCGCATAACAAGACTTCTTTGCCATTGTTACTCCTATAACTGTCAACTGTGTAGTTGTTGCGGTTTCATTTCCGCCCTGTTTATTTATTTTTTGCAGCCTCACCTCTCATTATTGTTTATTATGTGTAGATGGAAGCAATGTGCCATTACCAGAAGATGCAACTCCAAATGAATGTGAAGGTACATAGGAATGATTGGCTTTTGTGATGCAAGAACTACACATATTCTTTCCCATCAGAAGTGTCGGTGGCTGAAAGAAGAAAAGGCCATGTCAGGGGGCAATTCTCACATAACAAGATTTCTTTACCATTGTTACTCCTATAATTGTCAACTGTCTAGTTGTTGCAGTTTCATTGCTGCCCTCTTTATTGAATTTTTGCTGGCTCACCTCTCATTATGGTTTATTATGTGTAGATGGAAGCAATGTGCCATCATCAGAAGATGCAACTCCAAACAAATGAGAACCAAAGACTACTGTTAAAAGTACACCAGAGTTGCAAATATATTCTTCTGTTTTTTGAAATAAGAATAATATTGAGACTAAAAAGTTGTTCTCTGGTTGAGGGGAAGTACACTCTTCTAATGCTGACTGGCTCTACTTTTGATGTTGAACTTTGAGATTTCACTGTCTTTCACTGATATAGCAAAGAAATTCTGCTGAATTTTATGTAACCAACAGACTTTGAATTGAGAGATATATGGATACTGTCCGCAACTCCTGTCCCTCAAGTAGGGATAAACCCGGTCCGGCCTGGTCCAGAACTGGGTCCGGCACTGTTGGGGACCAGACCGGGTCTGGATAATCCAATTCGGGCCTGAGACCGCCCATAGTCTGCCTAAGCTAGTTTTTTTGTCTTGGAAATGGGGGGAAAACCAGAAAATGAAAAAAATAGAATGGGACCGGGTCCGGTTCTGGACGGGATTGGGTCCGGTTCTGGACGGGACCGCCTGCGTACATGGAACCGGTCCATACTTGGATTTAACCGGGTCGGACCCGGGCATCTCCTACCAATGACTGGGACCGGTTAGCCCTGGATTGGGACTGGGTCCACCCGACCCTCAAGTGTTTTCCCACTTTCCTAAAAAGTTTTTGAGAAAGAGTTTTGTGTTTTAGATTACAGTAATTCTTTTTCTTTTATGTAATTCTTAACCTTGTAATGTAGTGATGGAACCGCCCGTTACCGAACCGCCACTGTGCAGTACCGGCCCGGACCGGTTGACTGGGACTGGTTCGACTGGCCCGGAACCGGACCGCCACTGTGAGGTACCGGCCTGGACCGGGACCGGGCATCTCCTACCGGGTCGGAGACCGGGAGCAGGGCCAGATCGGGTCAGGCCCGGTTGGTGCGGGCCCATTTTTTTAAAAATTTTTCGAATGGATTGGGTGGTAGGCAGGTTGGGATGGGTGGTTGGGGGGGGGGGGGGGGGTAGGAATAAATAAGAATAACAAAAAAAAAAAACCGGGCCTGACCCGATCTGGCCCTGCTCCCGGAACCTACCCGGGCTGGTACCGGGCCTCCAACGCCCAACCCCAGTATGGCAGTACCACCCAAGGCCCGACCTGGACTCAGACCCGACCTGGGCCCGGTCCACCCCATTCGTAATGTCCATAGTTTAAAAGCATTGCAAAAGGTAAACATGTAGAACAAAAGGGATTGGGTGAGAAGCATTATAATTGTTTCCCTTTTCAAAAGTTGATTTTAAGAAGCGTGTATTTTGGTTTAGGGGATGGACTAGGTCCTCGCGGCCCGAGGCAGGACTGGCCTGGGACTGGTATTATTTGGACTGATAGAAAAAATTCTGAAAATATTACCACTTTAAAAGTAGTGGACATAAATATTTAATGAAATAAATATATAAAAAGTTTTTATCTTCTTCCTGATTTGTCTTCCTTGACTACTTTATTAAATACCGTTAGAATATTAAATATTTGCTTCCCTAAAATTTTATCGGTAGAGTACTTATGCGTAATGTTGAAGGACAAAATTATCGGCCAAATGATTGATGATTTCTCGTTTCTTTGTATCATCTGATGGCGCACCCTTCTTCTCAATCTCGTGTAAACTGCATGAGTTTTTTAGAGCCAACCAGGAAGGCATAGCAATCCAATTTTCCATTTTCCATTTGTTAGGCTAACGTTCTCTAGTCAATCTTCTTTGTGGTGTCAAAACCAATTGGTTGGTTTTTAAAATTCAATGCTTAATTTTTTATTATTTCTCTACCATGTGCAACTTTCTTATGGATCAACATTACTATCAAAGAGGGAATGGTTAATGAGTTGTGCTTCTTTAAGTCTTGAGCATTGATTAACGGCCCGTTTGGCAGCACGAAAATTGGCTGTTCTGACTGATTCTGCTGAAATTTATGAAATTCTGGCTGAAGTGGCTGCATTGGCTGATTCTGCTGATACAAGAAAAAAATATTTTTAAAATATATTTTATTAATAAAATAAAGAAAAAATTATATGTAAAAATAGCTAAAATGATCATCTACAGTAACTTCAGCCAATACAGCCAGAAAAGTAACTTCAACCTTACTTTTTCGGCTTATTACACAATTCAGCGCGCGAAAGCAAAATTTACGTGTTTGATAAAAAAGTTGGCTGATAAGCCTGATAAGCCGAAAATGAGGGTTGCCAAACGGCCTATAAACTTTTCAACTTGTCGATGTACAATTGTATACGGAGTATATTGGAAATTAATTGTTTGGACTTCTTGGTTTTATTTATGCATTTTGAAAATTCCTAGCACTCATTCACTGGAGAGTGTTGAAGGCTTGAAGCACTCACTTTACCAGACTTCTCTTACTAGGTGATGTTGTAGTCATATAACAACACTTGTTGATTACTTTGCTTCAGTATTGGCTTTCTTTAATATCCCAAAAAACTTTGTCAATCTTCTAAAGTTTAGCCCACGATTTTGAATAGTATAATGTTATGAAAATTATACGTAATAAATCTTATAGTTTTATGAAATTACTTTTACCAAAGAGCACTTTCATATCACTTTTATATTATAAATAATTTTTAATAAATATATATTGTTGGTCACTATGCCCATGCTTCTATACTTCTAGCAGGAACTTCCCTGCCACAGATAAGTGGAGTGATGTGCATTTCCAGTTTATTTTTCTTACTGCCCAGAGCCCCAGAGCCCCAGAGCCCCCAGACCCTTTCTAACTTAATCTTCATTAGCCTGTGTACATGAACTTAAATAGCATACATTCTTCACTAAATACCGACGTAAACATCACATCTGGAATCATTAAACCAATCATACACTTAACTTGTTGTAAATCAATCATTTGTCACTACATTTATTCACACAATCCGGATAGAGCAGCTTACATATAAACTGAACATAACATTATTAATGAATATTAGTCATGTATTCCTGTCCACAAAGTCAAATACTAAGCCATGGCATCTCAGACATCAGAAATTCAGAATGTTCCAATATGAAACAAAAAGTACTTCGAAAAACAGAAACTAGTGTGACAATTTGTGTTTATTTGTCACTCATAACTCTATATTGGTAATGAATTATTACAAGTTTTCTATTACGTCCGAATTCCCTCGGTGGATGGAACTCTCTTGGTCTTCGGGCTTCCAGTCGTTCTGCTTTTATGCACAGGTTGGTTAACCTCCTACCACCCAAAAAGCCTTTCAAGTGTTAAACCAGTTCACCATAGGTTGTTATGGACTTCATGATCATACCATGGATGGATTTGGTTTTGGATACTTTATGCCAACTTCACTGATCTCCTATTAATACATTCACCAACAGGCAAGTGTCCCCATCTCCCTGAAAAAACGTCAAATTAATACAATAAATTGACCACAATTTCTTGTCTAAGTTATTAGTATCACAACCCTGAATCACTACCTCATAGTCTCACTAAAATTACCATGCAGCCTTCATAAGTTACTATATCACATTTACACAATTTTCACATGCTTCATTATATATTGTATGGCTCCTGAGTATTCCAAATCATTTACACAATAGATATCTCAGCCCTAAGTTACTAACTCCTTCATAATAAGTTACTATATCACACTTGCTTATCCAAAGCTAAGTTACTATTTGTTATTCAAGATTTTCAAAAGTTACCAACAATCCAATCAAATAGATTTCAATAACTGCGCAAACGAAATTAGTAACCAAATTCAGTGTCAGCAAGTGTCCAACACCATCGTCAAACTCCATTCCAAATTTACGCCAAGTAATTGACTAAAAAACAACTTACACAAACAAATTTAGTAATTTACCTTCCCAGTTTCTTCCTTCGTTGTTCAGCACTTCACCCTTCCGCCTGCATATCTTTCCAGCGTTCCTGCACTTTTTATTTGGCAGTTTCCCCCAAATGATTCTCCACTGCACACTCATTACTCCCAATCCCTGAATTTCAGCCTTCCTTTGCATTACCTTTGAAACGGCATGTGACATTTGGGACATTTCATATGTTTATTTTCATCAGTGGGTATGTTTCTATGTAACTGATCACTTTTTTGTCTAACTAATTACCACCAATAATATTCATGTAAAAAACTAGAAAGGTTATACTCGGACTCGGAGTACAAGATGCAAAGTATATTATTATACATATGAATATTTTACAGATGTTTTTCAATTGGATTAAATTTTCTGATTTGGTTTGATTTGATCTATTTAAATCCGTTCTGGTCTGTTATGAGCTGGTATGTTCTGATCTGGTTTGTTTAGGTATAATCTGGTCTGATCCAGTCTGGTCCGGGAGTGGAATCAATCCCAGTAAAAACATTACATCTTTCGATAATTTGGAAGAAAATTTATTATTTTTAATTACATATGAATGAAAAATAATTATTTATAAATTATAATATATAAATAATACTTCAGTTAAAATAAAATTTCAGACCAGACTAAAACAGACAAGACTACACCAGCAAATTTCAAAAAACATCCCTATACATTTAATAAAAGAACACGGAATTACACAACACCCTTCCTAATAATGTACAACATCTTCTTAACAAGGTATATCAATCAATCATTAGCGACCATGGTTTCATTACAACATTTTCTTGATGATCAACCTGTTTTGGGCAGTGGAATCCCGCACTCTATCAACATCAACAACAATAGAGTCATCCTCCTTAAAATCTCCCTTCAACACACCTAATGCTACTTCATTCCCAACCATTTGTTGAATCACCCGCTTGATAGGTCGGGCTCCAAAGTTAGGGTCAAATCCCATAGTAGCCAGAAAACTTAAAGCTTCTTCCGTATAATACAACTCAATTTTCTTCTGTTTGAGTCGCTTCTTTACACGGTTCATCTGGATTTGGACAATTTGGCTAACTTGCTCCATGCCCAGAGGTTGGAAAACAATGTACTCATCAATTCGATTCATGAACTCGGGCCGAAAAGTTTGTCTTGCCAAGTCTACAACCTGTTTTTTCATGAGTCCATAAAAAGACTCTTTGCTACCAAGTGAGCTTTGAAGAGTTTCAAGAATATATTGTGAACCGATGGTTGATGTCATTATCACAATGGTGTTTGTGAAGCTAACCATTCTTCCTTGGGAGTCAGTTATTCTCCCATCATCCAACAACTGTAAAAGAATGTTGAAAACATCGGGATGTGCCTTCTCAATTTCATCAAAAAGAACAACCGAATGAGGCCTCCGTCGGATTACTTCTGTGAGTTGCCCACCCTCTTCATAACCAACATAACCTGGTGGGGCCCCAACCAAGCGTGAAACTGCATGTTTTTCCATATATTCGCTCATATAGATCCTCAAGAGAGCATTTTCAGTATTGAAAAGGTAGCCAGAAAGAGCCTTTGCAAGCTCGGTTTTACCAACACCCGTGGGACCCATGAACATGAAACTTGCAATGGGTCTGTTAGGGTCAGATAGCCCAGCTCTCGAACGTCTGATTGCATCGGCTACAGATTTCACTACCATGTCCTGACCAACAACCCTCTTGTGAAGAATGTTCTCTAACAGTACAAGTTTTTCGTTTTCTGACTTTTGAAGATTTGATAAAGGAATACCAGTCCGCTTGCTGACAATTTCAGCAATGTCAATGTCTGTTACTTCCTTTTGGAGTAGAGTGCTTCCAAACTTTGGATAATCAGCAACATTTTTCTCAGCTTCCTTGAGTTGAAGATGAAGAGACATCATTGTTACATACTTAAGTTCAGCTGCACGGTTTAGATCATATTCACGCTCTGCAGCTTCCATCTCTAGGTTAACCCTGTCACACTCTTCCTTGATTGACCATATACGACTCATCAGTCTTTTTTCATGCTCCCATCGTCCAGTTAGCTCTTGTTGCTTTTGTTTCAGTGATGTTAGATCACCTTCCAACTTGCACAGCCTTTCTTTAGATGCGTTATCAGTGTTACTTTTAAGAGAAAGCTTCTCCATTTCTAGCTTTAATATTGTCCAGTCTAATTCATCTAACCCAGTAGGCTTTGATATGATTTCCATTTTCAGATTTGCAGCAGCTTCATCAACAAGGTCAATGGCTTTGTCCGGTAAAAACCGCTCGGTAACGTATCTATCTGCAAGAGCAACTGCTGATACAAGAGCACTGTCAGATATTTTGACCCCATGATGCAGTTCATACCGTTCTCGCAATCCACGAAGAATGGAAAGTGAATCTTCTACAGACGGTTGACCACAATATACTTGCTGAAACCTACGTTTTAATGCAGGATCCTTTTCGACATATTTTCTGTATTCAATTAGTGTAGTTGCTCCTATGCATCTAAGTTCACCACGGACAAGCATCGGTTTCAATAAGTTCCCAACATCCATTGCCCCACCAGTAGTGCCCGCACCAACTACTGTGTGGAGCTCATCAATAAATAGTATAATCTGTCCATTCGAAGCAGTTACTTCCTTTAAAACAGCTTTTAACCTCCCCTCGAATTCTCCACGGAACTTGTAGCTAGCAAGTAGTGCACCCATATCCAATGATATCAATTTTCGATTCGTGAGAGGTTCTAGAACATCTTCACGGACTATGCGCTGTGCCAACCCTTCAGCAATTGCGGTTTTTCCTACACCAGGCTCACCAATAATTAAAGGGTTGTTTTTGTCCTCCAGCTGAAAATTTGAATGCAAAGCCGTATTTCATCATCACGCCCTTGATGGAGTATATGGCCCGGGAACCCGGCCCACAGACTCGTACTACTCCAGCAAAGGCCCAACAGGCCCAAAAGGCCCAAATCACAGCGCCCAGAGTACCAAGCAACCCGCACTACGCGTCAGGGGTGCCTTCGGCCCCCTGGCCGAAGGCTCTAAATTCTCACAGAACGGGTTTCTCAAGCAAATTAAGAAACTGGGAGAAAACGGCGAAAAAAGTAGCCCTCGGCACTATGAGCCCTCGGCACCAGGGTGCCATCGGGTGGAAGAGCCCTCGGCTACTGCTCTATAGCCGAAGGCATCTCACTCGACTAGATATCCGCCTCACATGCGTACAGATCATCGTGCCCCGCACAGACGTCCCATCCAACAGCCGCATTAAATGCGGCCACATGCGGCTGCCAGCGGCTGCCAGCGCCAACCAGTTGAGGTGACCCCTCGACCAATGAGCGCTTGACACGTGTCCCTGCCCGGCATTTATTGCTACTATAAATAGCACCCCATTTCCCCATTTGTAACCACGCTGAAAACGTCATTCATACTGAATACACTCTCTCTCTACTTTTATTTACTTGCTCTGACTTCTCTCTAAGTTACTTCCCGCAATAACCCTTCGGATATATACCTCGGGTAGACTATCCATCAGCCCTATTACAGGGTCAAGTTTTCCACATTTGGCCAGTTTTGTCAAGTCAGTCCCATATTTCTCAAGTACCTCAAACTTTTCCTCTGGATTTTGGTGAAACTTCAAACTTGACATGCTTGGATAATGATTTTTCAGCAAGCCGCGCACTCGTTTTTTGCAACTCTCATGCTTGGATGATGATGTTTCAGCAAGCCCTCTACTTTTTTCCTTATTCTGCCTCTCCTTAGGTGAAACATCAAACTTGACATGCTTGGATGGTGATATTTCAGCAAGCCCTTTACTCTTTTCCTGCTTCTGCCTCTCCATTTCAGCAGAAACGTTGGGGTTTGAAGGCTCGTCCAAATCCTTTCTTTCTGTCAAAATTTCACTGACAATCTTCCATTTTTCACGTCTAGGATCCAGGTCTTCTACCTCTCCATCATTGTATACAATCCTGTGCCTCTTAGTAACACGATCAAAAGAATCTATTTGACCGTCATAGTATTTATTATCCAAAGGCCACCAAACTTGGACTCTGAAACCAACAAGGCGTTTGTCATATTTTATCTTTGGATGTTCCTGTACGTCCAGTAAAGGGACCAGTTCCTCGACGGACGGGGGAGGCTTAAGAAGCTTGTTTCCAGCTTCGGGCAATTTCTCATCAATCTCTAAGGAAGTCTCCATCTTCTGAGGACCTATCACCCAAATCTACAGATTCCAGCTCAGACCATCAAACGAAACTCTATAAAGAGAGTTCCCTCATCCACCTAGGAGGAACAAAAAATTGTTTATTTGTGCAATTTCCTGTCGTGTCCAGGGAGGGAGACAGCGCGCGAGACAGCGCGCGAGACAGCAGGGAGTGTGGAACCGGAACACTACACAATGGTTTTGCGTAACCCTAGAAAAACCAGTCGCGCCCGACAGACGACTGATTTGCAGCCTAGCATATTAGCATTACATTTGCTAACACCGATCTAACCTGTCAATAAATCTAATTTAACATTAGTTATACTTGTTCATTCAGTCAATCCAATTTTCTTGCTATTCATCATCGTCAATATATTCACTCAACACATTTTATTTTAGTTAAATCCTTATTTTTATTATTATACATAATTTTTTTTCGCAAATTCTATTTTTGCAAATAGTTATGATTTAAAATATCAAACATTCTGATGTAAAAATACATAAATTTGGAGTGAAATTTTTAACCATGAGATCTATTTTTGAAAAATAATAATCGAGAGATGTAAAAAAAATTTAACAATGAAATCTTAATTTGAGAAAAATGTTGGATCTACAAATCTCCAGCGGATGAAACTTCTCATTTTTTTAATTTTACATATTCAATATTGGTGTCATATGAAAGATTATAAAAAGATATGAATTTAAATATACTTTTTATACAAATTGAATATAAATAAAAAAATATAACACTTTAATGAAAAAAATATTAATTTCACATGAGTCTCATGTTGGTCATTTCTCCTGCATGCGTCACATCTAATCCATGCATCCATTTTTTTCATTTACTTTTTGAGTGAATAGAAAGGTCCTATGTATCCCATTAACAGACCTTCATATACGGATTTTATCTTGGGTTGCAGCACTCATGGGAGTCAATAGCTTCTAATTAGCTTTTTGACTCATTGCAATGCGGTTAGCCTAAAAGGCTCAAGACGTTGCAAGGCAGAATGATAAGGCCTTTGACCTTTGAAACCTACACGGGTTTAGGTAGGAGAAAAACGTGAAAAGACGTTTTAGTTTTCTAGTAAATATTTTAACTTTTATAGAGACATTAGTAAATATATTTATGTGTTATTAGATAAATACTCCGTATTATGCAAAAGCATCATACTTTTACATGTGCACACAAAAATAAGCTTCTAGAGTTCTAAAAAGGAAAAAAATATCATTGGGTCAATGATAAAACAATGATGTTAATGATAATAACAATGATCGTGATGATAATCCAATAATAGTGACATTAGTAATGAAGATACATCATACTAATAATGATGTATTTTTCAATATTATATTTAATTACATTATGATAATGATGTATTTTTCAATATTATATTTAATTACATAGCTATTAATATGGTTATATTGATTATTGACCATACATGTTAAAGCTATGTTGATGATGAAATCCCATGCCATCGATGGTGTGCAGTTTTATTCTTTTGAAATCAAACGCTCTTTTTAAACTTTATCACGGTAATACCCACACCGGAAGTAGTTAAGGCATCTTGCTTCTACTTTTCTGTATAATATTCCCTCCATCTCACTGGATTTTACCAATTTTACTTTTTTGTTTATCCCAAAAAACTTTGCAAAATTTCAACCATACAAATTTTATTATTCTAATTTCTCACCTAACATCAACTTCGCAAAGTTGAGTGGGACGGTGGTAATAATAAGGTCTCTGCTTGATAAGCGCAAGGAAGTCCTTAAATCCAAAGCCCTGCAATCTATTCTTCGCGTCCGGCTTTGTTGAGGAGAATTTATCTCCCGAATTGGGCTGAAAGTAAAATAAAATTTTAATTTCAATGAGTTGGGCCGCCTGGCACCTAAGCTTGTATACGTAGTACTATATATATTTTGAAAATTTTAAAATAGAAAAATAATAAAATTCACAACGACTTAGATCAATCGTTGAAGTTATATATCGACACATTTAATTTCTGAGCTGATAATTCATTTATCTTTTATGTCATAAATAATTCATTTTAAAAAATAATATCGTATATTATTATGCTAAACGCAACTTTATCCGTCAATAAATCAAAAATAACACCATTTTATACGTATTCATTCTGTCAATTGAGATTTTTCTTACAATTTAGCACTGTCAATATTTTCACCACCAAAGTTTTTATTGATTAAAACCTTACTTTTAAATTATGAATTATTTTTTATCAGCTTTTTTTCCTGCGAATAATTATGATTTAAAAAGTCAAACATTTCAATGTAAAACACATTGGAGATTCCTTTTTAAATTTTAATTGTGACCTATTTTTTGAAAAAATAACTAAAAGATGTAAAGGAACATTTATAATCATGAGATCTTAATATTAGTACTTAGATAGTTAGATTTACTCGAGAGAATTACTGAGTGTAAAAACTTGTAGCAATCAAAATTTTGTATTTTTTGAGAGTTTGATGTATACTCTTGGTGTCATTCGAAAGAAAATAAAAAGTTATAAATTTTGATATATACTTTAAAATAATTGAAGCACAAATAAAAAAGTATATTACTTTAAAGAAAATAAGTATTAGTTTTTCAAATGCCTCATATTGGTCCTTTCTCCGGCGTGCCTCAAAGTCCATGCATCAATTTTTTCCTTTTGTTTTTTTTTGGGTGAATAGCTTGTGAATTGCTATCACTCGAGGATGCTAGGTATCCATTTCAACCTCCATATAGGTTTTTAATCTATGGTTGCAACACTCATGGGGTGAATAGCTTCCAATTAGCCTTTTGACCCATGCAATGTGGTCAACCTTATGGGGTCTTCCATAGATATTATTAAGTTGAAATCAATTTGCAAATGTGTGATCACTTTTATGAAATGACAAAATTGTGACTAAGGTCACAGATTTGGCAAATTATTATGTCATTGTCCGATTTTTATGTCACTGTCTAATTTCATGTCATTGTTAGATATCTCTATCAGATTGTCATGTCACTTACAAATATCAATGCCTCTGTGAAACATGTCACATTGACTGTTTGTAATTTTTGTTCAGTGAAACTGTCATCGCGGACAACCTCGTGGCCGTCCAGCTGCCACCCCAACTCCCATTATCATCGCATGCATCTTCTCTGTTAGTCCACAACTACTGCCCCACCCGATACCCGTACTCAACCGCGCGCACCCATCAATCGTCGCCAGCAAAACCATTGTTGGTGACTGCCACCACTGTAATAGTGACCCCACCAGCCCCCTCCCCAACCCCAGCACAAGCGCCGTCCAACACCATGCCCCGCCATGCCCCATCCATGCACAATCGCCGCCGCTGATATGATTTGAAAACCAAGCACTTAAACCCTAGCTAGCCGTCAGGAACTCGCCACATATATGAAAACGAGGACGACGATGACAGTCTTGTCATACCTTGTCACCACTTCATCGATGTAATAGAGATTAAATAAGATGAAGATGAACCACAACGGGCAACGACATTAGTTATCAACGAAGGCAACAACGTGGGATGTAGACGAAGAAGGCATCGTGTGACGCGTGATGCCGACGGAAGCAACAACCAGAAGGTAGAGCCGGTACGACAAGGAGGCGGTGGCGGTGCAGTGGCCAATTGCGTGAGGCGGTGAGAGCAAAGCTTCAAAGATGACGAGAGAGAAAATGTAGAGAGAGAGAGAGATGAGAGAAGCTTGGTGAGAACAATTAAATCACTTCCTTGTCAAGTTTTAAAATGATCATATTTTTATCCATTCAAACCTCATAGATGATTTTTTGTCACTCTTTCTACTATTATTACCATATATCTTTGTGCAGTGGTGGATTTAGGAAAATTAATTATTGGGGGCACAATATTTTGTAGTCGGAGGTTATAGTTATATTAATTACAAAATCCGTGTATAGATCATTTTTCATATTATTTTATATTAATTTTAGTTCATGGTATTTTAAAAGATATACAATAGGACAAAACTAAAATATTTTGAATTTGTGTTGTCAGTTACATTTTTGCTGACTAACTAAACCTTGTTTCTTTGTGTTCTGTCAACTTGTTTCTTCAGTAATTTAATATTACTAGATTCCACTACTAGAATTTTCCTTATTTGCTGCTACCCAATTGCTGCGGTTCTTAATTAAAACGCAACAAATAGACAAAATTTATAAGTATTTGTTGCGGTTCTACTACGACCGCAGCAAAAAGATAGAAAATTCGATGACGTTTTTGGATCATCTGGTCCATGACGTTTCAAAGATTTATAGCTAATTGAATTGGATCGTCTGGTCCATGACGTTTCAAAGATTTATCAGGCCTTCCATGAACAACAATGTTTACTAATTGAAAAGTTGATATGATTCAGGGAGGTTATAATGGGTTTTACTCTAAAAATATGATTAAGTTGACACCAAAATTGTTAATGCTATTCATAAGTGTGGTGGTACCTTCCTGCAAACTTCAAGGGGGGTCATGATACTAAAAAGATCGTTGACAATATTCAGGACCGTGGCATAAATGAGGTGAATATCTAGTTTCTTTCTACTTACATTTTAACTATTTAAGTGACATGGACTGATTGACCTCACTTGGACTCGTCCGGTTTCAGGGAGGAGCAGCTGCAATTTACAAGGTGTTTATCCAGCCACTTCTTTAAGTTAATAATATACTTGTTGATGAATTTCTAACAAAACCTTGTTTGCATATTATTTGTCAAGGAAGTTGAAAAGTGTGGACTTAAAGTAGCAGCAGTGGGAATCCCAAAGACAATAGATAATGATATTGCAGTAAGTTCTCTCGTTGTCCTTTATCACAGTTCAGAAATGTTGGCAAACGTTTATGTTAAAATTTAATGATACACCTGTCCTACTAAACCTTGTCAACTTGCCCAAAGTGATCCAATATTCTGGGTGAAGTTTGGATGACACAATTGTTAGAACTTACGGATAAATAATAATAAATTATAAGGGTGTAGAAATATGGCAGAACCGGACATCACTTCTAGTCACGTATAAAATACGTTTTCCTAAAAGTTTACTATCTACCCTTATCACAGTAACCGGGTTACAAGATAGAACTTTTGAGATAAAGATAAGGTGTATGGTGTATTTTAGCTACTGATAAAATAACACCGAACAAGTGATTTGTATATAATAAAGTCTAAGTATTCTATCACTATTACTGCAGTTAATAGTAATAAAATTAGGCAAAAAGAGAACAAGTATATTTGTACGTATGTCTTACACACCAGCGCTCAACATCTCACGTACTCTATTTATAGAGTAAAAGACAACTCTTCTAATGGTTGTGTATGTTTGTAAAACAACATGTTGTACCATTAACCACCAAAGAAAAGCAACCATTTGAAGAGATCGATTATTTTGAAATGCCAAGGAAAAATCTTTTAAAATACACATGCACAATTCATTTGAATTCTAAAATCGATTTGTACAAAGTACATACGTAATATATTAGACTAGTGTGCCGGAATTCCAAAACCAAATTCTATTTTGATTTCAAAACAATACATACGAATAACCCACTGAAGTAACCAATTATTATTATTAATTATTATTTAAATTATGATAACCAAAACACTTGTGTAGTTTCATAATTTTCATAATAATAATAATTATTAAATATTCTATGACATCATCTCTAATAATTATAGCTTTACAATAATTATTAAGATAATGTTCTAGATATCATGTTGAACACATGGACCTCATTTCTCAATAAATTTCAAACATGACACAGTGTGTTATACGGTGCATTTCTAAGTTTCTTCATCCGTGGAATTTTGAATTTCATGATATTAATGATAGTATTACAAGTAAATTCATTTTTCAGTACAAGTATGAGACCATATATACAAATATGAAAATGCATAGATTATTTATGTAGGCGCTGAAAGATTGTCATTGCATTATACAAAGTATCATATTGTTATCATTTTTTTCTAACTATTATTTTATGTGTTTGTTATTTCAGGTTTATCAAAGCACCAAAAGAGCGTTTTCGAGTGATGAAGTATTTGAAGTTTGTGAGGAATTGGCCATATAAGTGATAATTTTTTGTAAATTTTAACGACGATAAACTTACAAAAGAATGACAATTTGTATTGTATTCAATTTGAACTTTGGCAATGTATAACTCAATAATTTTGAGATTATGATTATGATTTTTGTTGATGAGATACCGAGTTTGTACACATGACTTTTTCTTATTTTGTAAACTATATATATTTTGTTCTACAACACTAGCTTTGTAATTTTGGTAGTATTCCAAAACAAAAAAACTCATAACAATTTTTAGAAGTATTTGCTGCGGTATTGAACCGCAACAATAAGTCATAATTCACTTTTTTAATAGCTATTTGCTGCGGTTCGGAACCAATAAGTCAAAGTTAATATTTTTTAAATAGTTATTTGCTGCGGTTTGAGACCGAAGCAAATACGTTTTCTTACTATTTGCTGCCCTGCCAATTGATGCGGTTTAAAACCGCATCAAATAGCTAAAAATAACCACAACAAATAGCTATTTTTCTAGTAGTGTTTTCAACACTACCACGACAATGTATTTAATTTAAACATTTCATACTCATCTATTAGCAAATTCATCATATATTGTACACCCGTGTCTGATTGTTCTATCTATACCATACCCGAATCCTTGACTTTCTCCTTCTTCATCATTAAATATTGTCTCATCATTCCATTCCTTGAATATGTCATCTTAAATGTTGTATTTTCTTATAAAATTATGAGTAACTATACAAGCAATCACCATTTTTCTTTTAACCGCAAAGGAATAAAGTAGCCACCTATTCTAAGATCGAAAATCAATAAGTACGTTCAATAACATTCTGTAGTTGTGCATGTGCGTGATTGATCACTATTATCTTTTAAGAAAATTTTGGAGGATTGTCAAGAAGCTTCTGGGCAGCTTATTAACTTTGGCAAAAGTTCTTTTGCTTGTGGGAAGATCTTACCTGGAAGACAAACCAGCATAAAAAATCTCTTGGGTATGACCCAAACCACTTTGCCTATCAAGTACTTAGGGGCTCATCTGCACAAAGGAATAAACAGAGTCAATTATTGTGGGCCAATCATTGATTAGTTTGAGAAAAAGCTCTCCCCTTGGAAGCAAAAGTTGCTGTCACTAGGGGAAGGCTTATTTTGATTAAGCATGTTCTCAATACTTTGCCTTTGCACATCATGGTAGTAGATTCTTTGCCTAGAAAGGTAGTCAGAATATTAAATAGTAAAATGGCTTCATTCTTTTGGGGGTCAACAAATGAAAGAAAAAAGTATCATTGGACCAGCTGGGACAGTCTTTGCTATCCAACAGAAGGAGGGTTGTGAATTAGACCTCTTTATTCTATTGATAAAGCCTTTGCTCTCAAAATGTGGTGGAAATGGAAAACTGGGGATTCTCTTTGGGCTGATTTCATTAGAAAAATATATGATAGAGGAGAGAATATGGTACCTAAAGATTATGACTCTGCAATATGGAGAAGGATATGTAATATCCATGAAGAGGCAGTTTCCTTGTGTAATGTTGATAGCTCTGGAGTTGTGACCTGGAATGGAGAAATAAGTGGTCAGTTTAGTTTCAAGTCAGCTTATGATCAGGTCAGAGAAGAACAAGACAACACCTTCACATATAAACACATTTGGCACCCCAACAAGAATTAAAGATCGAAATACTTCAATGGAAGATAACCAAGGGCCTGTTTCCCACATCAGATAATTTAAGAAGATTCAGATTGGTTTTAGAACCTTCAATGTGTGTTATGTGTAGAAAACACTCTGATAGTATGGCTCACCTGTTTTATCTCTGTGACACTGTGAAACCCATTTGACACTATTTTATGAAGGTTTTTGGTATTACAATTCCTTCTAATGACAATCTCAATCAAGTTTTCAGGAATCGGTGGCTGAGAGCTGGTTCGAACAATGCTATGGATATTTTTAAACATGATCTGGCTAGTATTATATGTTGGCAGATTTGGAAAACATATACAAGTATTTTATGGGGAAATCATTCTGAAATACCTAATACAAATGGCCTTATTATTCAAATCAAAACATACACTCAAAGGTGGCGTGGTCATTCCCTAAGCTCAAAAACAGTACGGTGCATAATTTTCTGAAGGAAGAACAGATCGTTTCCCCCAACTTCAAAGCCAAAGGCAACAATATTCAAATTATCCATTGGAGGAGACCCATTGCTCAACTTAAAATGAATGTAGATGCGAAATACTTACCTGATGCAACGGCGGGTGGTGCGGTCATTAGAAATTCTTCTGGGGAAATGCTCTGGGCGGCTAGCTTCTCGTTGATAGCGTCCTCGCCGGTTGAGACTGAGCTCCAAGCGATATTTGAATCGATTCGATATGCAACAGAGGAGGGTTTTGTTGGATTTCAGGTGGAATCCGATTCAAGTATCGCCTTGGCAATGCTACGAGAGGATAAGGTGATGAGATGGTCAGATCTAATTCAGGCAACCAGACTAATTGCTAAGGAAACAAGACTGACTTTTGGACATACTATGAGAGAAGGGAATTGAACTCCCCACTTTTTAGCGAAGGAGCATGTGGGCTCAAGAAGAGTTTTTTCCAGCCCATTATCTCTTCCGATTCGGTCCAGGAGGGCATACTACATGGATAAATTTGGCATACCGTCCATTAGATGGTAATCTTTAATTATTTGTTTTTATTTTTAATTGGGTCAGGTCTAGCCCCCTCAATTCTGTTTCTTTTTTGTTGTTTGTGTTGTATTTTTGGGAGGAATGCCTCCCGGAAAGGTATTGGTCTAATCCCCCTTTCCATTGTACTTTCAAACTTTATTAATAAAATATGGTAGATGTTCCCCGACATCTGCCCCACTGATTTTGATGGTTTGCCTTCCGGGTAAAAAAAATCTGATAATCAATACCTTGTGTTACATCCTTGCAACATGGAGCCAAGAAGCCACATATGTTCCAATATGCTTTATGTCACAAAATCACAAAGATAGTACTTCCTCCTTCCCAATTTGATAGTCTGATTGCGGTTTACGAGGTTTGACCGATGATAAAACAAACAAATCCATGTCCACACTCAAATTATTTCTATTAAATAAAATTTTACATATTCAGAAACTACATTAAAAGTTTTACAAAGTCACAAATACAAAACAAATTTGATACACTACGTATAAAGTAAGATATTAAGATTGATTTGCGTTGACCAAGTGAATCAGAAACATGTTCATCAAATTGAGACGGAGGTACTATTCATCTATAACATTTTGTGAGTCCTATAAATTTTAATATGCATATTAAGGGCCTGTTTGGAACCAGTTGAACTGGCTGGAAGGGCTGAAAAGCCTGAAAAGACTGAAACGGTTGAAATGAAAGTGTTTGATAATACATTAGCTGAAATTGCTGATTGAATGTAAAAATTACCATTAACGGTATTTACTTATTATTTGTGTTATACTCCGTATTTTCCAAGAAGAATTGATGGTCAACATTGTTAGGGAGATTGTTTTGCTGGTGGTGAAGAGAGCTTTTGTTATTGACGGAAGAAACAGCTTCGAATATCAGAACAGAGTGATGAGAAACAATTGCTCTGCCAGTTTCACTGCAAAGAACAAGGTGGGCGACACCCTTCCGGTCACAGACATATCCCACGTGTTGAACGACGGCAGAAGCATATTCTTGAAGTGTATAGCCCACGGCCAAATCGGAATCCGTGGATTTCGAACCATCGTAGTCAATTCCAAGACCACCGCCAATATCAATGACCTTCATGTTAGCGCCCAGGCGGGTCAGTTCACAGTAAATCTGGACGGCTTCACGTACGCCATCTGCTAGCAAGGCAGTAAATCTGGCCAGAGGAGAGAAGCTGCGAAAATAAAAGATGGGTAAATAAGTATTTAGGTTAGGCAACAGATACATTAATGAGTTTCAGCTCAAAAAGTAACCATTAAGTTACTTTTTTGGCTGATAAGTAATATCAGCCCAAACAGCCCAAATGGCTAGTGTTTGACTATTTTTTCTATTTTAAGGCTTATCAGCCCATTTTATAGGCTCCAAACGGCCCCTATGACTTATGAATAGTTTTATGGAATATTATGTAACTCTCTTATGAAGCCATATGAGGCATTGTGATATAATCTCCACCCCATGTTATTTTAGTGATGATCTTCATTAAAATAGTACTCCCTTCGGTCCTAAATAAAGTTCACACTTTTCTTTTTGGGTGATTCAAATTAAAGTTCACATTTCTTCTTCCTTCCTTATTTGGCAAATTATCTACATCAAAACACTGCAAAACAGTGCAAAACGGTGTAAAACAGTGCCAAACAGTACCAAACAGTGTCACTACTCTATAGTAAAGTCAAATTTATTTCCTTAATTTGTGTGAAGTCAAACACTGAACTTTATAGTCCGTATTTCATATTTTTTTGCTTATATTGTTATCATTACAAAAAGTCAAAAACTACACGGCACATTTGACTATTTGAGTATGATACACATCATGTTGAGCTAGTGATTTAATGAAGTTGATGTAATAATGTGTATGTAATTTAGTTGTATTAATTAAATGATTTAATAATCATGATGATATAAATTACATCATGTTGAATCTTTCTTCTTTAATCTTAGGAAAGGGAATTTTGATCAAATACACACTCTTTTGAATTTAGTGTGTACAACTGTACATTTGCTATCCGGCTGCGTGTTACTTTTCTGTTTCTGAAACTTACATAACGCATGAAAAACTGTGAATGGCGGTGTAGGTAATGTACTAATGGTACTTCTTCACGGAATAGCAGTAGTGATGATGGCGAAACCTCCTATAATCAAAGCGGGTCAATCTTTGGCTCCAGATCTCACTTCTGGCCGCACCTTTATCGGCACCTCTAAATCTCATCGCCGCCGCGACCTCGTCTTCGTAGTCAATCCACGAGGTGCTTTACTAGGATCGGAATTGAACTTTCTGAACAAAACGATTTGCTGCATGCTGATTATGCTTTTTTTAATGCTATTTCTATTGGAATGTAACTAGGAGCTAATGGAAAGACAGGTGAGCAATGGAAGACGCTGCTACCTCACCTCAGGTCCAGACTCTCTGATACCTATAACGTGAGTCTCATGACATTCTGTTTTCCTTTATCTGATTTAATAATTTTATAGTTGTATGTAATCTAGTTCAGCTAGTGATTTGATGAAGTTGATTCGATCAATTCTATTAAACTGTGGCGTAGCTTTTAGAAATGAAAAAAAAAACACCTATTTTTCATGCGAATTGTTGTTTTCATAGAGTTCTTGAGACAGCAACTGATATTTTTTTGCTTAATCTTATATATGGTCTGTTTGGAAGACTAAAGAAATGCTAAAGGTCTCAGGGAAGAAACTAGAGAGGAAAGTAGAAGTACGATTTGGAAGCAATGAAAGTGCAGGGGGGAATAAAGAAAAAAATCAATATATTAAATGCGGATATTTGTTCCAATGCTTTTTATTCAGCTATATATAAATACGGAGCACTAAACAATCTATGCATACATCAAATTTAGAAAGTTTCAATCAAATTTGGTTTTGTTTCCTATTTCCCAATGTAAAACCAAAGCTTAAAAATTGCAAAGGTAATAAATAGAAACAGAAGTAGAAGTGGAATTTGCAAGACATGGAAATGCATGGGAAGATAAATAAAATGGTTCATAACAAATCAACTTTGAATATCTCTTTAAATGATATTTACTTAGATATTTATATTTAGTAATGGCTAACTAATCAAGATGTATGTAAACTGCAAAAGGTTTTAATCAGATTTGATTTTCTTTTGTATTTTCTAATGTAAACCCAAACATATACAAATGTTTTTTCCCCTTACAGTGATTAAGTACAGTAAGGACTAAATAGTATGCTTTCTGTTAAAGTATGGACTTCTTAACTATGATACCTGAAAGCTCTTCTGTGGCGCTGCTTCCATGTTTCTGGAACTTTTGGGAAACCTGTAACAAACTCCAAAGAAATCTATATTAAAAGTATTTTTCCTTGTTTCTGAAACTATATGCTTTCTGCTACTTGGCTTTTTAAGCAATGCAGATTAGGCAAAGTACATATGGGATCATAAGAAAGTTTGAGAATATTATGGAATGAACTGTTCTAGACTTCTAGTGTTAGAAAATACAACTTGAAAAGTTGAATGAAGTGACATGTCACATGTTTGAGAGTCATTATTATCATATCATTTGTGTGAAACTGCGAACTATACCCAACTGTCATTTCATATGCTTCTTATACTCTATGGTGGAACTGTTCTTACTCTTACATTTGTTTTCTCACCATGCTTCTTTACATTCTGATTGAACTTCGGGTCTATGTTGTTTCCAGATATGCGAGTCTTTGACGTCAGGCCCCTCTCACGCCATTGACATAACACGGGAGGTAACTTTCTTATTACCTGGATATGTTGAGCTTTAGAACTTGTCATGCAGTATGTTTTGAATAAGAATAACACTGACAGGCTATACATGAGGGAGCTGATGCTGTGATTGCAGTTGGTGGTGATGGAACTCTGCACGAGGTGGATTATATAGAATAATTAACAGTTATTATTTTCTTCTCCGTGCACTAATTAATATTTGTTAGTTTATTCTCACATGAAGTGAGACATGGTCTTAAAAGTAGCTTAAAGCTAACTAAATCTAACCATTGTAGGTTGTAAATGGCTTCTTCTGTGATGGTAAACCTGTTTCCGATCATGATCCGGAGTCTACCCATTCAACTGCTCTGGGTGTGAGTTATTAGCAGCGTTATATAATGCTAATCAGTAAAACCTATTTACTTTAGGAGCCATATTACTTACCGAGGAAGTATGCTTTGTTGAGAGAATTTAGTCATTTACTCTTGTACTCAGATCATTCCTTTAGGAACTGGATCAGACTTTGCCAGGACATTTGGATGGTATGTCAGAACAACTTCTACAATCTACTATTTTATTTAAGTTGGCTTAGTTTGTACATAAGGTGTTGATTTGAAATATCTAATTTTATGCATGTTTGCCTAATCAGGAGAAATGATCCTTATGATGCTATAGAACGCATTGCCAAAGGTACTCTCCAATTCTCATTTCTGTTGACAATTAATTTTCCATGTAGGACTTCATTGTTCCTACAGCCATTCTAACAGAGGTGCTCTTAGGGATAAAATCTAGGGTTGACATTGGAGTTATAAGTGGGGGGAGTGGAGAACCACATTACTTCATCAATGTTGCTGATATTCATTTGTAAGGATAATTGTAAGAAGAAGTTCTAGAACTATGCTTCTACTTGATGTCTGCTTCCATCTGAGACTCTCACTTCCGTGAACATTTGTAGAAGTGCAAAGGCTGGTTATCACGCATCAAAGTACAAGAAATTTGGAAATTTATGCTATGTCATTGGAGCTCTTCAAGCTTTTCTGGGACACCAGAACCAGGATCTTAGAGTCAAGGTTTAACATTTTTGCTTGTACTATATATCATTCCTCTGTCCATCATGAATACTTCAAAGTTCTAAATTCTCCATACCGAGGAGATATTTCTTTAGAGGGGCTTTTGGTTCATGTAGTCTTACATTATCTTGGTAATGTGAGAAATGTAATTTTTTGTTGAGGTTTTAAGATTACCTGGCTCATATGGGCTTACCTAAATTTCTAATGAGGTAATGTTGGGGTGAATGAATTACCTTGGGTTTCTTAGGCATTTTAAGATTGCCTTGGTAATGTTTTAGACTATACCAGTTAAGTTATGTCCGTGCACCACAAAACGGATTAAGGAAATATATATAACCTGAGGTAATCTTACATTTTGTTGACCAGATACCCCCTTGCTGGTACCATACTTACCAAGAAAAATAATATTGTGGCCTGATCGGAGCACTTTCATAATAATGCAGGTTGATGATGGGGAGTGGGAAATATATTCACAAGTAACTGCTTTATGCATTGGGAATGCAAAATACTTTGGTGGTGGAATGAAAATCACACCAAATGCTAGCCCATCAAGTGGTAACTTTGAGGTTTGGGATAACAGTTAGTTATTCAGCAGCCCTTTACTCAAACACCTCATACGCCATTCTCTTTAGTGAAAAAAATTATCCTTTTATGCAGGTTGTTACTCTTCAGGATTTCAAGTGGTATGATTTCATACTCAAACTACATAAGCTATACAATGGAACACACCTATCCGTCAAAAATGTAAATTCAAGAAGGTATTTTTATACCATGCAAACTAAAAAATAAAATATCTTTATTTTCATACGGTTTTATACTATTATAAGTGTTATTATTGTTGTTATTATTATTTCTCAAGTCACTTAGGTAGACATATGAAGTCTTCAGTTATTCACCGTATGATCTTTGATTTCAGTGCACGTTCAATTGAAGTTGAGGAGATTGCTAGGTGTGATGGAGGCAGCATTTATGTGCAGTCTGATGGAGAATTTTTGGGGTTCCTACCGATGAAAATTCACATATTGCCTGGTGCCATTGAAATGATATGCTAATGAAATTATAGCTGTTGCGTCTGCTGAAGAAACATGATTTTCGGGAACAATAACTGCCTGTCTTTCAGGCGCTGTTTTAGAGGAGGTCGTTGCATTCTCAATAACCCTTCAGACTTTAAACTGATCAACAATGGAGTATGGTTAGCAGAAACATTTAATTTATACTCTTGTAGCATCAATGAGAAAGACAAGATTGTAAATTTGTGTAATCTTTTGTTTGCGGGAAGAAGTTATATATACAGCTTTCTTTCTTTCTCCCTCTGTACTTTAAGCTTAAATAATCTTTCAAACTGAGAGTTTTTTCTTATTATGTCTTTATTACTTTGTGATTTGTGACAATGGTATATTGTTGTCATTTTTTTGTACTTGCACTATTACAGCTGTGTTATTATTATTGAAGTCAGATGATTGAACATGAATTCAAAAATGAATATTAAAGGTGTCTTTGTCATAGTAAGAGAATGGTACACGAGAATAATTAAAGAGCAATAATTCTTGTTATACACAAAATTTATATTTTTTTGTACACACATCTGTGTGCATAACAATTAGAGACAATTATTGATTTTTTAAACAAGCTGCTTTGTACATAAATTACTAAGGATGTGTACAAAAAGGGTACAAATAGTTTTTTTTGATAATTACCTGGACAAAGATAATGATTTGTTAAAAACATATAAACTTATAAAGATAAGGACCTGTAAAACAGACCCGATTTAGAGACAGGCATCTCCCTTACGGCGCTTGGTTAATAGAAAGGGGATCGGCGACAATTGACCAACGAATATGATAATACGGAACATGACCTGAGCCCGTATGGCAAAGGATGTGATAGTCAGGGATGGATGGTGGTTAATACGGAACAGGGGCGGCTCAATTGGACGGAGGTCCAGGAGATCAGAAGAGGAGACACACTTAGAAGGTGCAAGAGCAGGACGATGATAAGGTGGAGGAAATGGCCCTAGATGGACCAAAAGATGGGGAAGGGACGGGCTCTGAAACCCAGGCCCAACAGAACTCCTGAAGCTCCCGACAACCATGATGATTGAAATATATTTTTATTCTGCTTATTTAGTTTTTCCTATTCTGCGTTTTTATTTGGATCTCTACTTTGTTTTGGTTGTATTGCGTTTTTCCAGCAAAAAAAATCTAGAACCTAAGACAGATGATGAGTAGTCTGGTTTGTGTGATTGGCTCAGTTAGGTCCAAAGCGGGAGCAACGAATCACATTGTTTCTGCGGTGGTGAGTGATTCTAAATCTGATTCTAGAGCGGACGACAAATAGACGACTTGTTGTCATTTTGTAACCTGCTTACGTTTTGTTATTATTTTAATAAAAGCCACTTTTGTACAAAAAAAAGAATTAACCCTTCTCTCGTAAAACTTTGTAATTTTCCTTCTTATATTAGTGCTTATACGGAGTATTTACTGTAAAAATATTGTGCTTATTTCTCTGGTTTATCCAAGTAAAAGGCGTAGTACTAACTACTACCTAGCAAGTACCAACTCGTGGCTACCAGAGTAACAGAGTTGCAGCCTGGTAGGACCAAGTGATTCTCAAGATATCATGGCAAAAGTTCCCTCCATCGTTTCCACCGCCGTAAACTTCCAATCCGGCAAAAGCTCTGCCATTTTCCGGAAAGGTTGCCATTTCCCCCCCAAAGCGTACATAATACGATGTAATAATGCCAAGAACCAAAAAATTACCTCATCCACTGGTCCTGAAAATATGGTACTGAAGGTTGCTTGGTATGGCTCTGAGCTTCTGGGCATTGTTGCTTCCCTTCTTCGATCTTCTCCGGCAAGTAGCGAAACTAAACCTCCAGAAGGAAAAACAGAGCTCGCCTCGGATGGGTCCGGAGTGGTTGATCGATCCCTGGCCGTTGATGCCATCAAAGAGGACTTCCCGAGATCCTACTTCGTCACAGGTTCTGCTCTGAGCTTCAATATATATACATACGCACGCATATATGGACAGAGAGGGAGAGAGATTAGTATTGAGGCCAGTATGAATTTTTTTCGTTAGATCACTTCAACCATTCATTTTTTTGTTTATTTTTCGTATTTAGGTCTAACCTTTACTTTCAATTGTCTGATCTTCTGTTCGTTCGATAGGTTTAAGCATCACTTTCTCTTAGTTAGATTTTTTGTAATGGTTGAGATTAATTGATCATTAGATATTGATTTGTTCTCAGAAATCTAATTTTATCTATTTTTATATGTGCCATTTTACATATTGCATTGTAAAAACTGAATTTGAATGTGCTAAAAGTTTAGTACAAAAAATAAGTGAAAAAAAAAAGTACTATATCGTTCACATAAATATTCATAGTCTCATAGATTCTTATCATCATCATCACCCCAGTGAAAGGCTCCATCATTACCCCAGTTCCGTAGAGGCTCCCACCCGATAAGATGTCAAACGCAGTTTTACCCCTGTACTAAAGTACAAATAGACTGTTTTGGGATGACCCATAGATTCTTATATGACCAGAAAATTTAAGCATGCCCCTCTCTCTCTCTCTCTATATATATATATATATTACTGAAGTGCATAAAACGAATTTTCTCACCCAAAACAGTTCTTGAGTTACCAAACCTGAAACACCACCAGTTTAGGGAAAAACTGTTTTGCATGTAGAGATACTTTATTGTCATACTCCTGACTTGCATATCTACAAAGATGCTTTGTTTACAGTACCAAAGCCGGATTTGCATTTAATTATACTAAGTTACTAACTGCGAGTTATAAGAAGTTCAGGGAACCTGACGATGGGTGTGTATGAAGAGGAGTGTGAATTTGCAGATCCAGCTGGGTCCTTTAAGGGACTGCGCAGGTTCAAGAGGAATTGCACCAATTTCGGGTACCTTGTCCGCAAGTCAAACATGAAACTTGTCAAGTGGGAGGATTTTGGGGTTAGTTATATTTCATTGCCATTTTATAACTTGCATTAAAAGGTGGAATCTTCCACCCACAGCTTAACCGGACTGAGTAAATGGGGATTAAATCATGGCGATACATTTAACCCCACAGACTAAATCACTAGTTGCTAGGTGCCAGAATCCTCTTCACTTTGAAAGTAACCTCGGTACTGGCTTCGGCAGGAGTCAGTGTTGGACTCGTGTACCACATTTTCACCTTTAAAACTAGATGAGCCTAATAATTTAAGTGCCCGTTTAAAACTTTAGCAAATGCAAGAGTCGAGAGAAAGGAAATACATAGAAAGGTAGGAAAAGTTTAGGATTTAAGAAAGAGTACATGTGGTGGTGCATTGGTCGAAAATAAAATGTCAGCTTAAACTCTATATTTCCTTTTTATATTTGTAAAAATTCATTCAATTTGTTGAAATAAATAGCCTCAACCCGAAAGCCAGCATAATGCTATTGGGGTGATCGGAAAGAGTCATACTCCTCTCCATTTACTCTCTCCATTTCATTTTCACTCTATCTCTCTCCTTAAAAAAAATAATTAAACCCCATCTTTTCTTTCTCCATACCCCACCACTTCCACATCTCACCCTATCTCTCTCCTAATGGAGAATTCCAGTTACTGGAGAGGAGCTATATTCGATTGGAAAGGGCTAGATTACACAAACAATGGACGATGAAGAAGTGGAAGATAAGACTTGAACACTATGTATTAGGCTCAAGAGTAGTATATGGGCACTTACAACACTAAAGTTTAGTCCTACGGTAGTACACTTTACTCTAATCCCACACTAACTACAATGAAGAAGAACCCCTTCAATGGAGTTATGACAGGGTATTTATAGTAGGAGATGGTAGCCGAGGGGTCGACAACTAGACATGGCTGTCCCTCATTGGATCAGCCATCCTTTCTCACTATCTTCCCAAATCCATGCATTAGATGCTTTTACCGTCATATCTAGATTCCTGCCAAATGGAGTGTTGCCCAAATCATAGGCTCATCCTGCTGAGATAATGGCCACAGTACTGAATGGACTCGTTGGGTTCAGTAATTTCTGGCACTGGTAGAGAGTGATGTAACTGTTCATCTTCTGGCATGGTGCCGAGCGGTATGGGCCATCTTGATCAGTATGGACCGTCTCGAGCAGCTCACAAGATCTTTGCTCGGGGCCAGTATAGCTTCACTTAAATCCGCTCAGTTTAGAGAGTGCTCTGTCGTCCAGGATGGCCCTTCTTGTGGCATATCTGGACCTCCGACGTGTACAGGCTTTCAAGCCCAACTTATCATTTTGGCCAGTACGGGCTCTTTGTGGATAAAGGGCATGTTGCTATGGTGCTGGGCCAATATCTTAACACAATGGTTATAATCTAAATGTTTTTTCAAATTTCTTTGGCATTTTCATAGGAAAGGCCATCTGAAAAGATATATTTCCCTGACATTGTTTTTTTGCCTATTACTTTCCAAGTTCCAATTTAACCCTTAAGGTTTTGTTGATGTGCACAGGAAAAGGCTATTGGACATTGGCGTTTTAGTTGTGTTTTGGTGTTCCCATGGAAACCCATACTTTCAGGTTTTTGTCTTTTTGATTTCTTCATTTATTATGTTTTTTGACTGAGCAAACAAACCAACATTTACTTACATGGTGGCGAGTTGGATATTGCAGCTACTGGTTATACCGAGTATTACTTCAACAAGGAATCTGGAAAAGTATGCAGGCATGTAGAGCACTGGAATGTACCAAAGTCGGCGTTGCTCAAGCAGATTCTAAGCCCCAAAACATAATTCTCTGAATTCAAGTGCTAGGAATTATACAGTATAGGAAGGAATTGTATGTATGTACTCCATGTAAATAAATGCTCGTTTCTTTTGGAAAGAATTGTGTGTATTTATTGTTTAGAATAGCTCTTGATTAGCCAATAGTCCCAATACCGGTCTAATGGCATCATCTTGCCCTCCTAAAGCGAAGTTCACAAATTCAAATTTTATCCCAATTAAGAATGTTGATATCATCTTTCAACAGTTAGCACATCCCAGAATTTCCTTTATTTCATCAATATTTTTCTGTTTTGAAGTATTTGGGAGTGGGTAGTACCTGAAATAGTTGATTTTTTTTGTATCATTGTAAAAAGATGAAGCAATATCTAAAAACTTTTCTAATTTTGTGGACAAGAGATGTTTATAATTGAATTGAAATTTTCCAGAGCTGCTATTTATATTTGAGAAAGCACTAATCTCACCAAGTGGTGATTGCATTGGCACAGCACATGCCACTGCTATATAGGGATGGATTCGGGCCGGGTCATCCGGACCGGAACCGGTCCGAACCGGTACTGTTTCGAACAGGCCTGGTCCGCGGCCCGAGTACGGATCGGGTCTACTATACCTGAACTAGATTTTCTTGGGCCGGGCTCTGGGTCTTCAAAAATTGAACCGGCCGGGCCCGGGCCGGGCCAATTTTATTTTTTTCAAAATCTTTGTGAGGTAAATGGGTTGGGCTGGGTGTTTTGGAGGGGTTTGGGATGTGGTGGGGGTAGGAAGTAATTAGAAAATAATAATATTAAGGTACCTGGCCCGGGCCCGATCCAGACCCGGTAGCTACCCGGGCCGGTTCCGAGTCTCAACAACCCAAAAAACCCTGACCGGGCTCGGCCTGAGGCCCGCCCTGGACTGGCCCGAGTCCATCCCTTCTGCTATATAGAGAATGCAACTCTGCAATAAGCAAACATTTATCCCCATCTAGTAGTTGATCCAGTGAAGATTTCAAAGAAAAACATCCTAGTAATAGCAAACTCTACATATGCCAATGACCAGTTCTTTAAAAAGAAAAACATCCTAGTAATAGCAAACGCTACATATGCAAAGAAACAATCATTAAAATAAAAATGATTCCTTTTTTAAATAAAAACGGAAGTAAAAAAAATGTTTCAATTAAAAGTGAAAAAATGATTATAACAATCTCAAATGTAACTGATTTGCTTTGAATAATCTCATATGGAGAATATTTTAAAGTGATTTCAACCACTACAAAAAAACAACCCGTTTGTCACGGATTTTTATCACAGATTCGGGCCGTGACAAAGTTGTCACGGGCTTTGTCACGGAATAGTCATGAAAATAATTTTTCCGTGACAAAATCCGGGACAAAGCCTCCGGTGACCGGCAATTTACTCTCACTACTACATTTTTAGACCTAATGTAACATTAATGATGTAACATATCTATAATAGTGTTACCTATTTCTCTAATGTAACACTTTTTAGATCTAGTGTAACACTTTCTAGAAGTATAAGTGTTACATTAGGTACTATAAAGTGTTAGAATAGGTCAAATGCAACACCAACAAATGTAATGGTAAAACAATGTTACATTTTCTCTGAAAAGTGTTACATTAGAGAAAATGTAACATTTTTTTACCATTACATTTGCTGGTGTTGCATTTGACCTATTGTAACACTTTATAGTACCTAATGTAACACTTATATTTCTAGAAAGTGTTACACTAGGTCTAAAAAGTGTTGCATTAGAGAAATAGGTAACACTATTATAGATATGTTACATCTCTAATGTTACATTAGGTCCAAAATTTATTTAATTCCGGGCACTTTGTCACAGTATTTAATCCGTGACAAAATGAAAAATATTTGAAATTAAAAAATTTCAAGTTACCTGCCTAACCCATTTCGGATATTTCAAAAAAAATCAAATAAATATTTGTCACGGATAAATCCATGATGAAATGAAAATATTTGAATTCAAAAAATTTCAAGTTACCCACCTAGTCCATTTCGGATATTTCAAATAAATTCAAAAAAAACATTTAACACGGATTTTTCCGTGACAAAATGAAATATATAAAAAATTGAAAAACGTTTGTCACGGATTTATCCGTGACAAAATGAAATATTTAAAAAAATTGAAAAACGTTTGTCACGGACGAATCTGTGACAAATAAATACCGGTGTTGCTCTGATTCCTTGGTTTGTCACAGATGGTGACCGTGACAAATTCATGACAAAGTTTGTCACAGAATATAGGTCGTGACAAACTTTCTAGTCACACATTTTCTGTCACGGATAAAACCGAGATAAAGTCCGTGACAAAATTTTTTTGTCACGAATTTTTTGAACTGAAATCCGTAACAAAATCCGTGACAAACTGAAAGTTTTTTTGTAGTGAACTATGGGCCAATCTCTCTATTGAGTCTTCCTTCTTTCAGAACAACCCATAGGCGAAAAATTTCATAATAAGTTCAAAAGGTCCATATCAGCTTCTGCTGGCCGGTTCAAAAACTTTCAATTGCTAATTACATAAATATCACCAAAATAAAGATGATTTACAAAAATATGACTAATGACTAGAGTAGTAATGAAATCATAGTAATTCATGTTTAAATTTTGAGCTTAAACTAGTTACCACAACACCACATTGTAGTAATGAATAGTCATATTTATGTAAATATGTTTTATTTTAGTAATATTCTTGTAAAAAACTCTTTACTTTTTCCTTCTATGTTTCTCTATATTGTAAATTCATTAATTATTACTAATAAATTCATTTGAACATTCGTTTTAAAATGAAACTGGTCTTTATTATTAAAGATTGTTTTTCCCATGTATGAAACTGGTCTTGACATTCATTTGAAATATTCGTCCTTTTATTTTGAGACTTATTGCACACAAAAAATGAATGTTTTTCCTTTTATTATAGAGATGCAATATTTATTCGCTTTTGCGAACGCTTTTGTTTTGAAAACATGGCGTGCGATCGAGAGGGGATACACGAATTGCCATTTTGAATTTTGAATAAACCTTTTACATTGGTGTATTTAGCAAATTTAGAGAGTGTTTACAAATGTTTTTTGCTTTAAAAAAGCACTCTTTAAAGTGATATTGGAAAAAGTGATTAATAGTAAAAGAAAAAAAGTAAAAGTTAGTAGTGTTTGAGAAAAAATTGATTTTGAAAAGTAAAAGTTGACAGTGTTAGGTAAAATATGGGGGTGTTTGACAAATATAATGACCATTGGTTGTTGGCTGAATGTGTTGCCTGATTGATGACAACAAATTTGTTGAATATTTTGATTAGTTGATAGTATTAACAGTTTGTAATTTGATATTTGGTTAAATGACGATTTACAATCGGCTGATAACATGTTAAATGACTTTTAAGGACGTCAATTAATTTTTGTTAATGTTAAGCACTACTATCGTATCATATAGTAGAATGAATTAAAATACTTTTAATTGATGATTTAAAAAATAAAAAGTTTATGTTCCAAAAAAAAGTTTATGAACAAAATTAATAATTATTTTTAACATTTATTATGAATTAGCAAATTAAGAGGCCGTTTGGCAACACTGGTTTTAGGCTTATCAGTCAACTTTTTCACCAAATACGTAATTTTTGTTTTCGCGCGCTGAGTTGTGTAATAAGCAGAAAAAGTAAGGTTGAAATTCCTTTTCTGGATGTATTGACTGAAGTTACTGTAGATGACCATTTTAGCTTTTTTTATATATAATTTTCGGGATATCGGTTAAATATTCAAACAGCCAAGACCTAAATGGTACTCCCTCCATCCCAATTTATTTAACCATCTTTGACTTTTCCAATCAAAGGTGGTAACTTTGACTAATTATTTAAACTAATATATTTATACAAAATTTAATAATTTTTTACTTTTATGATAGTATTTTTGACAAAGAACATTTTTATATTATTTTCATGTTATTAATACTTTCTCAATATAAACATATAATCGATCAAAGTTAGATCTCATTGACTTGAAAAGTCAAGTTTGGCTAAGTAAAATGGGACGGATGAAGTACTTTTATTGGCTTTTTTAATTTTGGCTGATAGGAATAAAAAGCCAAGTGAAAAAGCCAATTAACCAAACACCTTATTAGCTAATTAATTTGGTCAAAAAGCCAAATAGTGGTCAAATCAGCTAAAATTAAAAATGGCTGATAAGCTCCTAACTCAACACCCCCTATGTGTTTTGTGTGTAATAGAAAAAGTAAAAATCACATTCTAGCTTTTAGCTTTTAAGTGTTTAATTTAAGTATAAGTTGTCACTTGAAAACACTTATTTTTCACTTTTTAAGCCAAAAGCAGAAAATCCTTTTTTTGCAAACATACTCTTATTCTCTCATAGGTGCAAAAAAGGGTTTTCTTAATTTAATTAACCTTTTCCTTTAGAGAAAAATCATTGATTTATATGAGCTTTAATTATTTCTTTATGAGAAAAATCATTGAATTATATGAGCTTTGATTTATATGAGCTTTAATCATTGATTTATATGAGCTTTAATTATCTTCTTAATTCGAGAGGAAGATGAAAGATTTCTCTGTTCCTTATAACCTTAATTTTCACCTTTAGTTGTTTGATGAAGTAGTTCTAAAAGCTTTGTTATTTTCCATTGTTATCAATTAATTTGTGATTTCTATTATTCTATTACATTTGCACGAATCTCAATCACATGAAGAGTAATTTTTACTTTATTATTTTGCATACTGGTCAAACTTGGCAAAATTTTAATGGATGAAGAGAATACTTTAATACTTTTATGTCCCTCATTAGTTAGCAACCATTGACTTTTTTAGTTAATGATGGCAAACTTTGACCAATCATTTGCAAAAGTTATAAATTTTGTAATAGTAATTTTAATCAAGAATATTTTCACATAATTTCCATATTCTATATATTTTCATATATAAGGATACTATGAGTCATGATTCAATGCTCCATTTGTGCAATTTTAATTGCATGTCCTATTTTTCTTTTTGGGTTGTCCCAGAATAAGTGTTAGATTCCCCTTTTTGGAAAGAATGTGTGATTTACATCATTTTACTGTATTACTTTCAAATTTCTATCATAAATTTTACTTTCTCAATCACTTTATTAATAACTGTGTCAAATCAAAATGGGACAAACAAAACAAGAGAAAGGTAGTACTCCCCCGTTCTTTATTAATTGTCCCGTATTCCTTTTGTGGACGTTTTTATGTATGTGTCTCTCTTTCTTTTTTTGATAAGTTTTTTCCAATCAGAATACCTTTTTACCTTCACTTTTATTACTCTTGCCCATTTCTCTTTCTTCGTTATCATTTAAACACAAACAACTACATTTTTTCGCATTACTAGTTATTTCCCCTTAAAACTCAGTGTCAAAATCTAAGGGAACACTTAATAAAGAGCGGATGGAGAATTATTCTGACTGAAAAATTAAAGATGAGGGGAGGTAGTAGTTTTCGTAAAAAACATGCCAAGGAGTGTGAATAATATTTTGTCGGGCATAAAAGCACATTGAAGATGAAGTGAATATGTAGGCAAAGAAGGATCATCATCGGACAAGAATTTGGTGCGAGGGGAACCTGCGATAGCGTCGAACCTCGCTCCGTCCACCTCATCTCATCTCTCCTGCAGGGGGCCGGGAATCAGGATGTTGTGCGGGGTCGGCCGGCCGGCCGGTCATACGCGGCAGTTTGAAACTGTGGGTCCCGCCAGTTCAAGTATAAAACGGGCCCCAAAACCTCCTCTCTTTCTCATCCATCCATCGATCATCACTAGCTTGCTACAAAAGTACCAATTCAATCCATTTTGCCGCGGCCTGCCCAGGTGATCGATGGCAAGAAAGAATACTAATCTTGAAGGAGCAACTTCCGGGCGGCGCATTCCCGCCGGCTTCGTCGACGAGGAGGATGACTTTAACGGAGATGAGTCTTCCGCGATCAGGTATTGGTTTGGGAGGATGTCGGCTCCGAAGCCGGTCGCCGCCATCATCGGTTCTTCTTATCCTTCTTCTACATCAGAGATGATCAGCGTCGAATACAATTCAGCTACGGATGATGATGAGCCCGAGTTGAACTCTTTACTTGAGACGTTGAGAGCTTCGTCTCCTACTCATCCTCGCATAACCGCCACAACTGTTTCATCTGAGCAACGCGCCACCTGGATGGTACGTACGTACGTAATTATTAAAGCATGTGTCTCATACCAAAAAATTAGGGAGTATAAATCAATAAATCACTGTATAGGTTAACTACAAAAACACGACTTTGACACGGACTTGACACAGACTTGGCGGTGACTTCGCATGGATCTTTGGAACAGATTATCCAAAATTTATATGGTATTTGACACGGCTACGTTCAATGCGTGCCAATTTCTATGTCAATGTCGTTTTGTCACCAGCTATTTAACACGACCTCGTGCCAAAATATGGTATGACCCGTGTCAAATTTGGTCAACCCGTATAAGTCTGCCAATATATATAATATATTGTTGTTTTGTTGTAGTGTTTATACTATACGAGTACATACGTATACAGCTGCATGCATGCATGCATGCTTACTTATAGTGTATATAACGTGCGGCGGACAGAGGTGCCACCCATCAGCTCTGGACATGTTTGACCAGATAATAAGGGATTCCGCGGGAAAGCAAATCGTGATGTTTCTTGACTATGACGGAACCCTATCGCCCATTGTCGCCGACCCCAATTCCGCTCACATGTCCACCGCGGTTAGTACATACATTCTTTATACGAAGTATATACAGCAACTGCTTCATTTATTTCTAACATTTTAATTCCCTTTTTCTAAATTATTGAAAACCTAATTAATTTACAGATCACATTACGTACGTACGTACACTATTTTCTTTTTGAGAGAATTCCTTACATAGGAGTAAAAAAGTTTTGAAATTCCGAAATAGGAGTATCATAGTTTTTATTCCTTGAATAAGAATAAATTTCTGCCAAATTTGGCATTACTAGGCTGTAAAACATGGCATTTTTTTCTGAACTTGGCATATTACTCCTATTCAAGGAATAAAAAACATGATACTCCTATTTTGAAATTTCAAAACGTTTTTGCTCCTATTTAGAGCAATTTCTATTTCTTTTTACTCGCATTTTATTTGTGGATGATTAATATTGATTATGCAGCTTATATTCTTTATTTTTTAAACCTGAATAATGAGTCAGATGAGAGCAGCGGTGAAAAGTCTTGCCTCATATTTCCCTACAGCCATAGTAAGTGGGCGGAGTATAAACAAGGTACGTAATTAATTATTAAGTACTATTGGAATTAATAATTAATTCCAATAGTATAATCCTCCATCCTCCGTACTCCGTATATTATTATATGCGATAGTGCGATACGTACTCTATCATTCATGGATGTTAATGTGAGCGTATATTTTCATACGCACACAAACACAACATTACTGATCATATTTTTAGTTGGGCTGATGACAGAATAGCACCTAACGCCATTTACCTCGATGGATTTGTGAATGTTTATTGCGCGCAGGTGTATAGCTTTGTTCAGTTGCCAGAATTGTACTATGCAGGAAGTCATGGTATGGACATTATAGGGCCGTCCCGAGGCCCCCAATTCAAGAAAGTGAGTAACGAGCATGTACTCTATATGGATCTATTTTAATAAAATATAGATGTATTAAATATAAAAATAAATATAAAAAGTGAAATGTACTCTATATTAATTAGTTTCTATATGAACTAATCTAAATAAAAGATATTTATTTTTAAAAAATAAAAATAAATATAAAAAGTGAAATGTACGTACCCTATATGAATCTATTGAATATGAATGATAATGTACTCCTTTAAATAAAAATATGAAAATTATTTGAGTAAAGTCTAATTCCTAACAATAGAAAGATAAGTGACATGTACTCAAATACTCTATACTCTGTATGAAAATAAAATGACGCGATTCCCAAAAGCTTTTGACTCAAAAGCTGTGATTGAGGAACTTTAATCTCTTCGAAGAAATGTCGGGCCAGTTTTACGATATTATTTTTAGACTTTTGTAATAATATATTTGTCTTTTCTTTTAGATTTTTTGCTTTTGGTATTTTAATGTTTCATTTTATATACTACCGAGTATGTCTTCCGTCCCAAGAAATTCTCCTCACTTACCTTTTTGGGATGTCCCAAAAAATTCTTCCCATTTCCCTTTTTGGAAAGGTTTGTGTGACTACCATTCATTTACCTTTTTCTTACTCAATCACAACCATGCATTTCCACTTTATTCTCACTTTCTTAAACTCCGATCCAAGTCAAACCGGGAAGAATTTTCCGAGACAGAGGGAGTAGTATATAAAAAAGTTATAATAATGAACTTCTGCAATTATTTTGTTTTAACTACGACCAACGAGGCATCGACGTATATAGTATGGGGGCAGCTTGCTGCCTTTCCCCGCTCAATCCCAACTCTGCCCCTGTAGATATAACCTAAAATTTTCTAGGAAATTGCTCAAAATAAGAGTTAAATATAGGAAAAAAATTTAAACATGATTATGAATGCTTTGTTCCCTAAACAAAGGATTCTTATAATCATATTAATTGGGCTTAGGGTTAAGACATGGGGAGTTTGGGTATATATGTGATGATGGTGCGTGTGATTTTTTAAACTGGAATAGTTATACACGCATCATTTATAAATTAAAAGAATAAAAGTTTAAAAAATTCACTAAATCTTGTTATGCTCAAATTATATTTAAGTAATTTTCTCAAATTTTATACTCCCTCCGTCCCTAAAAGGATTGCCAAGTTTGATCGGCACGTAGAATATATAATAAAGTAAAAATTGTGTGGTAAAGATTTGTGCCGATGAGAGAGAAATAACATGAGCCACAAATTGATTGATTAAAGGGAAAAATGTCAAAATTTTTGGGACAACCAAAAAAAGAAAACTTGACAAAATTATAAGGGACGGAGAGAGTATACAATTGTCTCTTTTTCATACATTTGTACATTTATAACTTAAACTATTCTAGTCAAACAATATTAGTAATAAGATTTGCTATGTGTAAAATATATAGCTAAGTTCTAGTGTACCTTAGCCTCTCTACTCAACATTTTTTTGATACCCTAGTGAGTCTATGCCCCGGCCCCCCAACACAAGTTTTCTGGGTCCGCCACCCCGCCCCCTGCACACGGGTGTAGTTTTTGTTAAGGCATCCCACAACGGCTATGAATAAAAATATACAAATAACATCCTATGGGTATGAAACTTTAACTACTCATCCTATGGGTTTATATTTTGAAGAACTCAAGAGTTGATGAGTTTAAAAATAGTATGAATGATTTACATATTTAATTATTATGTACCCCTACCCATATATTGATGGTGACAACTCCAGTTCCCATCTAAAAATTGGGGTACCGTACCTAACATTCACTTGATTGGTCCAAATCATTATATCATTTTTAATTTAGATTTAAATAATTCAACTGCAACATTCTGATTGGTCCATGTGGATAAATGTATGGTATCTTAAGGGTACCATAAAATCTACCTATATTGATTTACATACCCTTCCATCCCATTTTACTTAGCCAATCTTGACTTTTCAAGTCAATGAAGTCTAACTTTGATCGATTATATATTTATATAATATATAGAGAAAGTATTAATAATATGAAAATGATATGAAAATGTTCTTTGTTAAAAATACTATCATAAAACTATGAAATTATTAAATTTTGCATACATATATTAGTTTAAATAATTGGTTAATGTTTACCATCTTTGACTAGAAAAGTCAAAAATGGCTAAGTAAATTGAGACGGAGGGAATATTTGTGCTCGCTAATGTATTTATGTGAAACTTATGTGTTTTATACTTTCATGCACCATGATAAATTTGTAATGGTTTACCAAAGAACATTCTCCTATCAGACATTTTTTGTATATAATTATATCACCATTCAAAGTTTAACATCATTAATTACAAAAGTAAAAAATGTCTAAGGAGTAATAAATATTAAAAGCATAGATATTTTAGTCCATGATATATGTAATTATTTCATATATATGAGTGTAGCAAATGTTCATGTAAGGTGGGGCCTAAAACTTATAATTTCAGGCCTCTTTCATTTGAGGTGCTTCCGAGTCCAATTTTTGATGAAATTTTGTAAGAATATTCTCAATGAAGTGTAGATTATGTCTAGCATATTTCAACTTAAAATTTAATCGGGAAGTCAGGTAAATACATATTTGAAAAATTGCGCAATTTTTATAAGTCGGGAGTATATTAAAATGAATTATTTTCAATAATTTATTTAACTGATGACTTCTCGATTAAATTTTAATCTGAAATTTGGTGGACGTAATGTACACTTTATGGATAACATGCTTACAAAATGTTGTCAAAATATTCAACATGTTTACGTTATATGATCAATGTCTTATGTGGAATATATATCTATATATATTTGCAGGGTGGTGGCACAAATATTCAACACCAACCAGCGGCCAACTTTATTCCCATGATACAACAGATTTACGCGACGTTGATGGAGAAAACAAGTCACATTCCTGGTGCTTATGTGGAGGATAACAAATTTTGTGTCACCGTCCATTTTAGACGCGTGGAAGATAAGGTAAGCTATGTGCGTATACATTTACATAATATGTTTGTAATTAATTACGATGTTTTTACCGAACTGTTTTCAATCTAAGACCAGATCATATCAAATAGGATCAGACTTAATTAAACAGGTCATAGCACACAAGACAAGACATTCATAGTTATAAAATACACAGGAACCTTACATTTACCAAACATGACTAGACTTAAACAAACCAGATTGGACCAACAAATTTCCATTTAAATAAAAACATCCTCAAGCAAAATGATTAACGAGGAATTCCCTAAATATAAAAAAGTTCCTCAAATACCCATACGAGACAATTGAATTCCCTAAATATAAAAAGTTCCTCAAATACAAACACAAAATGAGTATTTAGAATTACCATTATTTTATTCTCAAAATCGGGCTCATTTATCACTCCTATTTAATTAGGGAAGTGAAATATACTCAGTCCTGGCCTATTTTTAAACTTTGTCTATATTTTGATTCCATAGTGAACAATTTTTGTATATTATTTTGCATTGTGAGTTAAGTAAATTTATTCTTTTAGTGAGATTAAATAAGTATTCTGTTGGAAAAAAATATATTTAATACTCGATATTACTTTAAAATTTTAATAGTTTCATGTATGTATGGGGGGTGGGGCGGACGCAGTATTGGAAGGAATTAATCCAAATAGTGAGAAGGGTGATGAAAGGATATTCAGGCCTTCGAATATGCAGCGGTAGGAAAGTGATCGAGATTCGGCCCGTCATTGATTGGGACAAAGGCCAAGCCCTCACCTTCTTGCTTACATCCCTAGGTCCGTTCCCAGGCCAGGCCTGCTGATACGATGCTTTTTATTCAATAATAATATTTCCTCTGTTCTTAAATATAAGTGTAACAGTCAACTTTTCACTTTTGTTAACACATAACTTTGATCGCTTGTATATTTAATTCTCTATTACTAAAAAAATTTAAAAAATCATATTTCAAAAAGTTACGATGAGAAAAATTTAACAACATTTTTGAAAAAATAATTTATTAAAGTATTAATAAACAACGTAATCAAAGTATCAAAGTAGTATTAAAATTCAACATGTTACACTTATTTAAAAACAAAAGTATGCAGTACATATATTAATTGATGACTTATTGCCGCATGTTACTAGCTAGCTAATTATGCATGCATGCAGGTTACGCTCACTCTACTCGTGTGTGTCCCATCTATATTGGGGATGATAGAACTGACGAAGATGCTTTCAGGGTGCGTGTGTACTACGAAGTCCACTTTTCCACCCCTCCCCTACTCTATATTCTCATTATTAAATAATAAAGGATGACACCCCATTCTTGAGGGCCTTCCACCCTGACCAGACGATACATTAGAAGGATGTGAATTGGACTATAATCTCAATCTGACAGATAAAGAGTGAGGCTCTGTCCCCGGTACTTGTGGAGGCCCTATGCATTTTAACATAGTAACTCCTCATCGCAGTTGTCGGGATTCGAACCCGAGATCTAACCCTTGTGGTACTCCCTCGCTATCAGTTGAGCTACGCCCACCGGTCGTCCACCCTTATTTCTTAAAAATACTTTCTTCAAATTTATTTACTACTCTCACATAACAGTTATCACACGCCTAAAAAATAATTATATTTACTCTACCATAATCTTATCAGATCACATGTAAAACGAATATTTCAGCAAATCAATGAAATAACTCTTCTTTCTTTTGTTTCTGTCAAACTAGGATTTTATTTAACATATACTCCTTATATTGTACTCCTTATATTGTACTCCCTCCGAAAGATTTCCACTTTTCTTTTTAAGACGTCCCATATAGAGGTTCCCATTTTCATTTTAGAATACATTTAATAATTTTAAATGACAAATTAATCAATAAATATTAAAAATAATACATTTATAATATCACAGTTATCAACGCTAACCCCATTATATTATATACATATCAAAATCATTTCTCAAAATATACTCAAACTACCTTATTTAATTAATGTCTAAATAACCGTGTCGTTTTGTCATGAAAACCATTCAACGGGATGAAAGTAGTAATTCTTAAAAGTGTGCACGAAATTGATCAAAGAATATACTCCGTAATAAAGATAATAATAATAATAATAAAAAAAAAATAATAATAATAGTAATAATAATAAATATGTACGTCGTCATCTGATCTTAATTGTATCTGCATTTAATCGGTGGTTAAATCAATGATTAGGTGCTAAGAGAATCACGCCAAGGTTTTGGCATTGTTGTGTCAAAAAATCCCAGAGACACGCTTGCTCCTTATTCCTTACAAGACCCATCTGAGGTACGTTATGATAATGGTTTTATGCTATTCATAAATTTATACTAGTACTATTCTAGGCTCAAATTGATATATATATATATATATATATATATATATATATATATATATATATGCTTTAAATTATTATCTCTTAATTAATAAAAATGCTTATAACTCCTCATCCTATATTGGCCCTTTTCAGGTTATGTCCTTTTTGCGCCGCTTGGTAGAATCTCAGAAGAAAACGGGAGGAAGAATTTTACGTTTTTTTTGGGGGTGAATGTCAAATACAATACTAATTTGGGTTAAACACCCTTTTCAATGAAGTAGCTAGCTAGCTCATACACACACACAAGTATATAAATACATAAGACAAAAAGTTGCATTTATATATATGCAATTTTCCTTTACGAAATAGCATGCAACATGCATGTACTATTAGTATATATATAGTAGTATATGACAGAATAAAAAGAGTAAAGACCTAGCTTTCCCTTTTATCTTCCATTGGAAAGCTAGGCTTTTGTAGATGTTACGTGACAAGCTCGTAGAGAAGGATTGGGTTAACGTAGTCTAATTTCACCAATCTTTCCCATCTATTGTACCCCCCAAAAACAATATATATTGATATGCATGGCCTGTTACGCAATTCAAGCCGTTTATGTGTACTGTTTTTCTTTTTAAATTTCTAACTAAAATATACGTTTCTGTTTACTATAGTTAATGTCATCAGCACTAGCTAAAATATACGGATCGAGTATATTAACTAGTTTAATTCCTTTTTACCACAATTCCTGTCTAAGCTATCTTTTTTACTATTACCGTGCGGAATGTAGTTTTATTTTGTTATTATTATGCAAATTCTACCGTAGCATCAAGCAATGGCTTAAGCAGATTTTTTTGTGAGTAGTTCAAACTTGCAAATAATTAATGGAGTTTAATTCTAATTGCAAAACTAATTAATCTATGAGAATAAGTATTTTGATAGCGTAAGACACTTATTATTCAGAGAGCGAGTCCCTTTAAGGTACGAATATGAAGTATTTATAGACATAGAGCTACAGTAGTCTAAAGAGACATAGTCGTTAAATTTAATACGTAGTTGGTCTAATCATGATGAGACTCTTCTAACTTATGACTTATCTCATAACTTCTCATTTATTACTCCTTTATGTACACCTCTCTTCTGATAAATCCCTACCGCTGCAAAATAGCCATGCAATGAAGATGACTTACCACGTAATCCTTAGGGTGAGTCTTACCTCACTAGGATCCCGCGCCTAGGCTCGAGTTCTGTCGATCAGGTCATCCTAGATGTGGGTTCCTTTCGCGGGTCTTGTTCCCCTGTTAGACCCAATTGGCTTTGTTGATCAATTACTCCCAATTAATGGGCTTTGAATTACTAATCCCGTGTAATGGGCTTCGCCAATGATTTGTTTTTGGGCTATGCTCGCAGTCCATAGTACAATCACGCGCCCCCTACTCTCTAAAGTAAGTCGGGTTTGATTTCAGGATAGTAACGAATTCTTTTTTGAATTTCTTTCATGAACTAGAGCATCGTTTTGCATTCAATGTTGGCTTGTAACTTTGCGGGCGTAGATTTGACACACACTTGAGATTTCACAACTTCCAACCCGCCTTACCAACTTCAGCACTTGAGTGCTTTGGTAGTGATTGTCTAGCAAGTAATGCGGACACCATGATCTCATTAAAAAAGGTATGTCTCTCTTCCAAGTAAACTAGACTTAATGAAGAAGATGCTAAAAAACTTTCATCAAAAAATTCCACCGGAGCCTCCCCAAATGGTGACGTCCGGACAGAGCATCCTATATAAGGGGTGATTTACACTTTTTAAGTTAGTTTGAGAGTCTATTTGACCATTTTCTCATTTTTTTACTCTCATTAAAATTGGGATGCGGTACACCTTTAACGAGAGGTTTTTGAGACTCTCTTTAGTTTTTGACATTATTAATTGATTTTCTTGTAGAGATATGTGCTTTCCGTATAATAGAAAAAGTAAAAAGCATGTTCTAGATTTTAGCTATTAAGTATTTTATTGTAAGCAGAAGTTGTCACTTGTAAACACACTTTTCAATTATTAAGCCAAAGGTAGAAAATCATTTGTTTTTATAATTTTTTTTTGCAAACATACCCTTATTCAATTCTCTCATCGGTGCAGAAAAGGGTTTTGTTAATTTAACTTTTTCCTTAGAGAATAATCATTGTTTTATGTGTTAGTCAAATTTAACAAAGTTTTGAGGGACAAATGGAGTATATTTCATTATATAAGATATACCCATCCGTTCCTTAATTATAAGTTTGTCATTTTTCCTTGTTTGATTGTTCTAAAAACCTTGTTATTTTTTATTGTTATCAATTAATTTGTGATTTCTATTTTTTCTTTAACATCTCCATGAATCTCAATCACATAAGGAGTAGTTTATACTATTATTTTATGTATTATAGTATTATAGTCAAACACTATAATACTATTTATATCCCTTTTTAGTTAGGCATCATTGATGTTTTCAGTTAATGATGATAAATTTTGACCAATCATTTTAAGTAATACACTTTTGCAAAAGTTATAAATTTTATAATAGTAATTTTAATCAAGATTATTTTCACATAATTTTCATATTCTAAATATTTCAAATACAGAATTTAAGGATCCGGATGCTATGAGTCAAAATTTAATACTCCATTTGTGACAGTTTGATTATCTGTCCTATTTTTTTTGGGGGGTTTTCTCAAAACAAGTGTTAGATTTCTTTTGTTGAAAAGAATACGTTATTTACAACATTTCACATTTCAAGGTATTATCCGCAAATCTCAATCACAACTCTTACTTTCTCAATAATTTTGTGAGATTATTTATGTTCAATTAAATCACTCTGGGATGTAATGTTGTTTAAATCAAACTTTTTGAATTTCTATCTTTTATTTTAAATTCTCATTTCTTCAATTCAAATTAATTTTAATCATTTCTTCTTCTAATAATGACATATACGGACGTTGTCATTTAATGACAAGAATAATTCTAAAACTACTTTAAGTTAATATAAGTATTTACCTTTTGTTTAGTATAATAGCATTTTTATTTGAAACATACTACGTATACATATATATAAGTTTCGGATCAAATAAAAAGAGTTCTTATCATGAAAATTGATCGAGAATAAATCTTGTGCATTTAACTTGAGATTCGATGAGCCAAAATCAGTCAACAATGCACTATATTTTATCAAAAACTCGATGACAATTTGATAAATAAATCAAAATTTTCTCTCATTGTGAAAAAGTGTAAAATAAATATCTACTAGTGTACCAAAACGAGTAAAAAATTTGCCCGTTCTCATTTTTCACGGGAATAACTCTTTTTATTAGAAACTCACTCTATATGTATTAATAATTATTTTTCACTCGTTTTTATTTTATCCTAATAAAAAAAAAATTCAAAAAAAAATATATAAGAGCACCCCCTCAAATTATTGTCTGATTCCGCCGCTGCTTATGACCAATTATTTGACACGGTCCCGTACCAAAATATGTTATGATATGTGCCAAATTCACACAATTTGTATCAAGTGTGTGTCAATATTATTGTTGTTTTGTTGTAGTGCTTTATACTTCCTCCATCTCTTTTTAGTTGCAACAGTCAACATTTCACGTTTGCCAACGCACAACTTTGACCGTCATTATATTTAATTCTGTATTAGTAAAAATAAAATAAAAATCAGATTATAAAACTTAGTAATGAAATGAATTTAACAATATTTTTCAAAAAAAATAATTCACATACATTAATAAATAAAATGTAGTCAAAGTAAAGTACATGAATAGTGTATATATTCCAATGTTGCAACTAATGACGGAGGATAGTACTACGAAGTATATATATATACTCCCTCCGTCCCTTATAACTTTGCCAACTTTCCTTTTTTGGTTGTCCCAAAAACTTTACCACTTTCCCTTTTAATCAATCAATTTGTGGCTCTTGTTATTTCTCTCTCCTCTGCACAAATCTTTACCACACAATTTTTACTTTATTATTCTACGTGCCAGTCAAACTTGGCAATCCTTTTAGGGACGGAGGGAGTATATATATATATATATATATATATATATATATATATATATATATATATATGAGTACATACGTATGTAGCTGCATGCATGCTTACTTATAGTACGTGTATATAACGTGCGGCGGACAGAGACGCCACCCATCAGCTGTGGACATGTTTGACCAGATAATAAGGGATTCCAGGGGAAAGCAAATCGTGATGTTTCTTGACTATGACGGAACCCTCTCGCCCATTGTCGCCGACCCCAATTCTGCTCACATGTCCCCCGCGGTTAGTAACTTCTTTATACTCCCTCCGATTCTTATTAAAGTTTCCAGTTTGACTTCACACATATTAAGAAAATGAATTTGATTTTCCTGTGAAGTGGACTGTTTGGCACTGTTTGGCACTGTTTGGACACTGTTTGACACTGTTTGGCATTGTTTTGTTTCCTAAAATGGAAGTGTTAATAGAATTATTATAGGCTTAGAATTGTACTCTACATTAAACTCTTCCTTATTATAAATATATCTGCCAGGACTCCTAGAGAGTATCCTGTTTCATTATTTCACATGGTATCAAGAGCACAGAATAAACCCCAATTTTTTTTTCCTCTTCTCTCTCTCTCTCGGCATACCCTAATATCCCACCGCCGCCGCCATGAGTTCATCAGCACCCACGAACGCCACCTCTTCTTCTTCGGCGGTGTCGTCCACCATGGCTGGCGTTCACTGCTCGTCTTCTACTGCTGCCATACCGCCGGCAACTACTCCACCTAATTCCGGCGTAACCTTTCCCTCCCACTACATCTCCCCAAGTCGCAGCATCCCATACTCACTGTTCCAACACATGCCTCCAGCTTTCCCGTGGCAGCCTCCTTCACCCGTGCAGTCAGTCCCCTTGGAACCGCCTCCCTTCTCAACAAGCTCCTTCTCTGGCCCTACGCTTGTTGGTTCGCCAGGAGTCTCTACCACGGTTCAACCTCTTCGGTCCGCAGCACCACCTACGGGTGGCTCTCTATTATTTCATCTTGCTCACACTATTTCTCATGTGGCTACTAATGTCACAAATATTGTTACTACAAAACTCCTGGCTGTCGAAGATTATACCACGTGGCGGACTCAATTTGAATCTTTTCTTGTATCTCAAGGACTTCTGGGCATGGTTGATGGCACTCTTCAGGTACCTTCCGCTTATTCCATTGATATTCTAAATCGTCAGTCTCCCAATCCCGAATATTCTGTCTGGTTGCGAATTGATCAAACCATCCGGTCTTGGTTATTTGCAACCCTCTCTCGGGATATTCTTATTGATGTTCGTGACTTAAAACATTCTTTTGAAATCTGGGAGCGTTTAGAATCTCGATTCATGTCTGTCAGTTTGGCTCGGTCAATGGAATTACAGCGTTTATTTTCCCAAATTAAAAAGAAACCTGAACAATCTATGGATGCGTATCTACGCGAAATTAAGACTTTGGCTGATGATCTTGCCACTATTAATTGCCCTGTTTCTCCACGTGACCTGCTCAAAACCACCATTATGGGACTTGGTCGTGAGTATGAGTCCTTGATCACAACAGTCTCTCTTTTTCCTCACAATT